TGGCCAGGCCCCAGGGACAAGGGCCGCCAAAGGCAAGGAGGGCTTATGTATTGGTTTTCTCTAGCTGCCATACCAAATACCACAGACCGGGTGGCTTACATAACAGAAATGTATTTTCTTACAGTTCTGGAGCTAGAAGTCTGAGATCAAGCCGTCAGCAGGATCGATTTCATCCTGTGGCCTCTCGCCTTGATTTGCAGATGGCGGCCTTCTCGTCGTCTCCTCAGGCGGTTCTCCTTCGGTCTGTGTGTGTCTGTGTCCCAATCTCTTCTTATAAAGACACCAGTCATATCGGATTAGGGCCCACCAATGACTTCATTTTACCTTAATCATCTTTCTAAAGTCCCCATTTCCAAATACATTCACAATCTGAGGTACTGGGGCTTTGGATTCCAGCAAACGTGAATTAGAGGGACACCATCCAGCCCATAATAACTCACGAGAGGGTGTGGTTAGAGGGATGCAGGAAGTGTGGACACTGGGGGAGACTCCAGAGCCAGGTGGGAGGGGGCAGTGACGGGCAGGAAGACAGGAGATAGCCCCAAGGTGGAAAGGCCCAGCTGCCCATTTGATCGAAGCACGAAGGGAAGATGCGTCAGCATCTTCTGATGAGGTCAGTGCCCAGTGACGTCCCTCTCAGCATCAGGAAAAGCTTGCAACATGGCCCAGCCAGTATAAATAGGCTCCCCAACCACAGGACCCGGGCTGTCCCCTCTTCCTGGGGCCACGTCAGCTAGTTCCGCATGATTTGGAGGGGAAGAGAGGACCGACTTGGTTCCTCAGAACTGCTGCTTCCTCGCTTTCTGGCCCACTCTCTGTCTGTGGGTCCCTACTCCTTTAAATGCAAGGACAGAACCTACGGTGGCCTGGGGGATAGGTCAAAATTGCAAGCCGCCCCACTGGCGCTTCACCTAGGGGACCAGTGGCCCCTGACCTGCTGGGTGGGAGGCGGAGACCAATCTACTTCTGAGCCCCCTGTCCTTGGCCCAGTCACATCCCTTTTCTGAGCTCAATGACAGTGGTACAATTTAATATTCAAGAGACAAACAACTCAATTCGAAAATGGGTAAAGGATTCGAATAGACATCTCTCCAAAACAGAGAGACAAATAGCCAATAAGCACAAGAAAAGATGCTCATCATTAGCCAAAAGGGAAATGCAGATCAAAACCACAATGAGATACCACTTCACACCAGCTAGGATGGCTATCATCAAAGACAGACAGTAAGGAGTGCTGGAGAGGACGGGGAGAAATCTGAGCCCTGGTGCACTGCTGGTGGGAGTGTACAATAGTGCAGCCGCTTTGGAAGATGGTCTGGCAGTTTCTCAGATGGTTAAACATAGGGATGTCGGACACCCAACTGTCCCACGCCTAGATATATACCCAAGAGAACTGAAAACGTCTGTTTACACAAAAACTTGCACACCAATGTTCATAGCAGCATTTATTTATAATAGCCAAAAAGCAGAATCGACCAAAGTGTCCATCAACAGAAAATGGATTAAAATTGTTATCTATCCATACAATAGAACCTTATTCAGCCATGAAAAGGAGGTACTGATGCGTACTACAATGAGGATGAACCTCAAAAACGTTATGCTAAGTGAAAGTAGCCAGTCACAGAAGGCCAGTTATTTTCTGATTCCCTTGGTATGAAATGTCCAGAATAGTAAATCCATAGAGACAAAAAGTAGATTAGCAGTTGTCAGGGTCTGGGGGTTCTGGGGGGTCTGGGGATGAGGAATGACAGAGTTTCTTTTGCGGTGATGAAATGTTTTTGAATTGGGTAGTGGTGATGGTTGCACAATCTTGTGAATACACTAAAAACCACGTATTATGCACTTTAAAATGATGCATTCGATGGTATGTGATTTTATCTTGATTTTTAAAAATGCCGTGGCAAATGCTGCCTTGCAGGATGGTCAGCATAATTTGGTGGAATCATGCCCGAAGTGCCTGGCCCTTAGCAGATGCTTGATAAACTCTTACCCGCCAGCCACTGGGGCGGACGAAGGCTCACGTGTCCTTATGTCACAGGGTGGCTTTGAGGACAGTTGGGAAAGATGTTACATAAGCCCAGGGTGAGCAAGGCTCTACCCATAAGGTCAGCGAGGTCACCCTGGGCTGGGGGATCCTTTGCTTCGAGACCTGCTACACGGTGCTTCTGGGGCCTGTCCACAGCTGTGGGAAGCCCTGTCCCTCTGCTCCCAGTGGCTCCCCCAAACGGGATAACTGACCCCTCTCCCAAGGGGCCCAAACACCTATTCAGGGAAGTGCAGCAGAGAGAGAGAAAGAACTCACTTCTGTGCAAGAACTTCTTACTACCCTCTGTCTCACCTAGACTAGACCCCCTGCAAAGAACCCCCAAGTCAAGGAGAAAGCAGATAGAGGTTAACGTGTCTCCCCTGAGGTGGAATGACCAGGAGATAAGGGGCTGCCCTGCTGTCTACTCTCTGAGTGGCCTAGAACAATCCCTATCCCCTCACTACCACCTGGCCACCCGCTCTGAGCCCAGGGTCCTCTCTGTGAGGTGAGGGGACAGGTGAGATGACCACAGATGGACCCACAACTCTACAAACCCCATGGCGCCCCTTAGCTCTAAGTACTTGAGAAGTCACTGTAAATAAAATAACGTTAAACATTAGCCAAGGATCAGGAAGTCCAGGTAGTCCCGACTTTTCTCATGATGACAACATACAATGTCTATTTTGAAACATCACGTTCTTGCCAAAAATGTTTGGGGCCCAGGCGTGAGCCAAGTGGTGATAACCAGCACGTTTCTGGAGCTCTTCTGTGCGCTGAGCCCAGTTTCAAGCATTTCACGTGGGTGAGCTCACTGAATCCTCGCAACCATCTTACGGGGCAGAAATCGTCATCTCCATCTGAGTAGATAGGGAAACTGAAGTCTGAGCGGCAGGGTATTTGGTGGAAGGTTGCACAGCTGAGAGTGAGCAAAGGCTCAACCAAAACAAAGACAAATGGCTCTCAGAGCAAAGAGAAGGGAGATCCACTCCCTCAGGAGGCAGCTGCCAGAGGCACAGGAGGTCGGTATTTCTGTAGATCTGGAAAGATAATGCTTCTGCTGAATGCAGAAAAAGAGAAACTAAAATTCCGCTGTCAGATAACTGCATGAGGCCACACGCAAGCAGGACCCCACAGGACCAGTTTAGAGAATAGCAGGACTGGCTAGAAATCACCAGAGAAGGAGGAAGGCAAGGAGGGAGGGGGAAGCAGAGCCACTTGCAAAATCGCTTTGTTACCATTGCAGCCCCTCTAGAGAGGCTTGTCTGGTACAGCCTAGTCCCACTTCCCAGGCTTCCCATTGGCATTTGGGTAAGGTCAAAGTCATTACCACAGCCACTAGGCCCTGCCCACCTCCCCAACCTCACTAACACCTCTGTAGCCTGCCACCTTCCTGACCCTCTTCAGTCCCTCAGGGAAGCTGAGTTCTCACCCCAAGTCCTTTGCACGTACTGTTCCCACTGCCCGAACATTCCACATACTCGTCTGCCACCTGGACATCAAGGTCCTGTCCAAGTTTCGCCTCTCCAGGAAGCTCTCCCTAACCTTCTCCCACCCCAGACTGGTTCTTGCCCCTGCTCCTCCAACCTTCTCAGAGTACCATGTTCCCCTCTATGTAGCACTCTTCAGAGTTCTAAACAGCTGAGAGGTTGTCTCCTCAGCCAGACTATAAATTCTGAGGGTACGCACTCTGTGGTGACTCCCCATTGCCCCTTTCGTGAGCACGGCACAGGAGTAGGTGCTCAATAAATCCTTAGTGAATGAATGAATAAATGCATGGCCATACAGGTTTGGCCATCTGCAAAATCCCCAGAAAGGTCATCTATGGCATCCAGGGTACAAGACCCAGACATGTCTCCATGCCACTTCTAGTGCCCCTGCAGCCAAACCTCTAGAAGTGCAGGCTCACCTTGTTGCCAGCGGGGAGTAGGTTCTCTTGGAGGCTTTGCCATGCCCTCTCCTGGTCACCTGTCCCCACGGAAATCAGAATCGTATCGCAATACACCAAAGCACATGATCTCTTTTTGGGAAAGCCTTGATGTCAAAGACGTTGACTTTTTCCTTTATGATAATTTTCCTAAAGCAAATTCAAAATCTATTCTTTAATTCACTGCAGATGTCAACACTTTTCCAGAAAACAAACTGAAAAAGAAAAAGCCAAGGCATTCCTCCTGCCTCCTTTAAAGAATTCATTTCAGAACAAATTCTGCGTAAGTGACACCGGACAGCCTTGCAGAAAGGGGCCAGTCTTCACATGAAGGGACAACCCTACATTTTGGAAAACAGACAAATCACAGTGGCTTTTCAGTCCCTCATTCAACCTAAATTTCAGTGACTCACTGTATGTGTTGGGCACCAGCCTTTGTGTGAGGGATAAATTGACAAGAAAGACAAAGCTTACAGGTGAATGAAATTTACTATGAATGCCTTTTTCTATCTGGGTTCTGAAGAGTGAATAAACACACACCAACATCTAGCACATGAAGGGGCCTGGAAGATCCACTTGTCAAGCTGCCTATTTCTGGCCCTAGGCCACAGGAGGGGATGCCACCCAGTCTGGCCTTGATGGCACCCCAGGGTCTAGCAAATCAGCCATGTCCTGAGTCCTTCCCGGGACTAATGTCAGACCCAGGAGACGTACCTCCCTCTTGTGGCTGGTGTTTCTGAGCCAGGATGTCACCGGTCTGGCACTGTGGAAAGTCACCTTACCCACCCCCACAGGGTGGGGGTGGGGTCCTGCCAAAGAGACAAGAACGTGGCCAGTGCAGCCAACTGATTTCCCTGAGCCCCGGTCCCTGCTCAGAGCCCAGCCCAGCCACACAGTGTGTCTCAGCTACACAGGACATGATAGCAGTTTCTCTCCTGCTGGTTAAGTTGGTTTCCCGGCACTTGCAGTGGGGGCAGGGGAAGGGGTCCTTAGTTCAGCCACAAGCATGAGGATGGCAGCAGGAAGGGTGGAGGGCATGGAGGGAGGAAGTGGATGGGATTGGAGCCTTCTCTTGGTGCCAACTGCATGGGCACAATAAGTGCTTAAGAAACAGCAGCTGGAGATAAATGGGGAAAACTGTCTACAAATGACCGTCCTGGTCCCAAGGACACAGAGATGGGACTCACTTGCAGGGATGCCGACTACCGGCCCAGAGGAGATGACCTGGGGCAGGTGGATGGAAGACCTGCCTTCTTCCCTGTCTTGTTCTTGAGAAGACATCAAGGAAACTTGGGGAGTTTATCTTGATCTGAAGAAAAAAGAAAAAAAGAAAAAGAAATCTTACAGCTCCAAAAAGAGAAAAGGCTACCAAAATTTGCTCTGTCCAAGGGCCTATCGGAGGCCATTCAAGGGGTGAGGGGGTCCAAGATGGAGTGTGTAAGGAAGAGAAGCAGACAATACAGCGTTAAATGAAAATGCTTTGCACCTCTACAGTCAGGAAGGCAGACCTTAATACCCAGAAGCTGGGAACAATCCAAACATCTATCAACAGATGATGGTTAAAAAAGTGGCCCATCTATACAATGGAATATTACTCAGCCACGCAAAGGAATGAAGTACTGGCATATGCTACCATTTAGATGCACCTTGAAAATATTTTGCTGAGTGAAAGAGGCTAGACATCAAAAATCACATCTTAGAGAATTCCATTTATATCAAATGTCAGGAATAGGGGAATCCATAAGGACAGAATGCAAATTGGTGGTCGAATGCAAATTAGTGGTCGCCAGGGGCAGAGGGGAAGGGGATGAGGAATTTAGCAAGAGGGGACAGGGCTTCCTTTTGAGGTGGTAAAAATGTTTCAGAACTAGATAGAAGTGATGTTTGCACAACACTGTGACTGTGCTAAATGCCACTGAGTTATCCACTTTAAAATGGTTAATTTTCCGTTATGTGAATTGTGCCTCAATTAAAAAACTTTTTTTAAATGCAGAGCTTTAAAACACAGTCAACTCAGAAAAATCAAGGAGCTAGAAAACAGATAAGTTGGCTGCAAAGGGGCAGGAGACAGAAGGCCTCCCACGTCCTCTCCTTTGTTATCGCCTGATGAGCATCTGTCCTTGGCCTCATTTGTGGACTTGGAAAAGACTTACCTCAAGTTAAAGGGCAGGGCATGCAGCTGCCGGGGGTGGGGGTGTTCCTGGCTTTGGGAGAGAAGTCTAGGGGTAGGCACTGAGTGGCAGGGCAACCAGGAGAGCTGGTGTGGGCTGGAAGGTCTCAAAGGCAGCCTTCCTGAGAAGTGGGGCTACCGAAGGCGGGAAATCAGGGACTGAAGGCGCACGCTAAGGTTGTGCTGGGGAAAATGTGCTTGAACAATCAAACGAGAGGGAGACTGAGGCAGGGAGACCAGCGGGAAGTCTGGGGAAGCAACACAGGTGAAGACAACTGTGGGCTGAATCAGCGCCTTTGGAAGTATGGGTGTCACGGTGGAGGGCCCAGGCTGAGGGGCTCGTGCGCAGCGGGGCAGAAAGCACAGCCAGGCTTGCTTAGGCTGCAGACAGAGAAAGAATGAGTGGTGAGGTAGGAGGAGACCAAGGAGGATGAGGCTGGAGGGGTGCGGGGAGGTCAGAAGGGCAGCGGTAGCAGAAGGTGAATGGGTGGGTGGGGTGGGGACCCAGAACAGCTCACCGCTCCCCTGGTGACTGCAGGGAGCCGGGCCTTCTGGGATCAGGGAGAGGCAGGGAGGCCTGAGGGGATGTGGGTCCAGGGACAGAAAGTGGACAGGAGGGTATATACAGCACATGTGTGAACATGAAAACACAGCAAATGCAAATACACATGGACATAAAAAAAATTCCCTAGCCGCAGTCAGAAACAGACACACAGAAACACATACCACATATGCTCAAGGCACATACACGGGTACAGATGCGCACTCCAGCAACACAGGACACGTGCAGAGATGGAGCCAGGCACATAGCTGATGCTCATACATAATCGGATGCACATACAGCCACAGACATGCAGACCTCCAACAGAGACACAAGTACACACTGGGACACACTGACAGACACATGCATAGATGGACACGCACACACTTCCTGCCAAAACAGACTCATCTATACAGATGCGCATCAAGGCCTGCACAGACTGCCGGTGTAGTCCTACATATGCATACCCACGCAGCACATGAACACCCGTACAGCTCATGCATCCACTTGGCACTGTGACCAACCCTTTAGTTAAGAAGCTCTGGACAGCCCCGTTTGAGGCATCCTTGGCTCTGAAACCCAGCACCAGGGCCTGCCTGGGAAAGTAAGACACAAACCACGGCCATTGCCCAACACACCCATCTGGCCTGGCCCAGGGTCAGGTCTGGCCCAGGGTCAGGGAGGAGCCAGGGCCAGGCCTCGCGTGCCTGCCCACGTACTCGTTGCCACCAGCAGCAGACATCCAGCCACCAACGCAGACAGCTGGGATTGCGAGGGATCTTGCGAAATCATCCTGTCCCTCAGGGTTCAGCTAAAGTGTCCCTTCCACCAGGAAACCTCCCCAGGCTCCTGTTGGCCCAGTTAATCATTTTGAACTCTGGTTCTGCCAAGCCCGGCTATTTGACCTTGGGCAAATCACTTCACCTGTCTGTGCTTCATTTTTCCCTGCGTAAAGGGGGATAAAGAGCATGTGTTGAATACATGAATGGAGCACCCCTTGCCCCTCTGCTCCCCACATAGGGATGGGGGAAGCAGCTTCCCCGTGCTCACTCAGCTAGCTGCAGACTGGGCTCCCCCACTGGCTCCTGCTCGGTTCCCTCCCACCCAGTGGGATCCTGAGGCCTGGTGGAACATGGAGAAGGTGTGCAGTTTATTCTCTCTCTATACGGGACCAAGAAGCCAGCTCTGGAGCAGCTTGGCAAGCATGGGACCACATGGCAGTGGGAGTGAGGACTTTAAACTCTGAATTTCTGCTTAAATATCTTCGAAGAGGACTTTTAAGATGTCACTTCCTCTGTTTAGGCATGGAAATCAGAACGGGTGGAAATGAGCAGTGACTCTCCCCACCTGAAGTTTCCTCATCTCCTTTACCCACCCACCCAAACCCCCGCCTGGGTCCACATCCTTTCAGTAGATGCCAGACACCGGGCTAGTGGTCTGAGGACTGAGAGCACCTTCCCACTCCCTGAGGAACCATGGACAGGGCCCTCCCAGGCCCAGGCTGCCATCTTTGTGAGGATGAGCACTCAGGCTCCACAGTCTCGGGCCTTGACTCTTGCACCCAGAAGCGGCTATGCTGTGGACAAGTAAACCGGGGTTCCCAGGGCCGGGAAGACAAGGACATGGGCTGCATGCCATGAAGCATCCCAAATCCTGTTTATGAATAACCCAAGCTGAGTCCAACCGCAGGCCTGAGCTGACCAGACTGACTTCCTTTGCTCTAGGACCCTCTGGGGGCCTAGGTGGGATAAGGAGGTGGTTCCATGAGACCCCCACCTCAGCCTGGGACAGCTCAAGGGCTGTCTGATGACAGCATCCAGCACCTCAGTCATGAGTGAGGTCCAGGGTCACATCCCTGGAAGGTGCCTCTTCTCAGTTGAGTGTCCCCCAGGCACCTCCCAAGCCCAGTGCCTGACTCCAGCGGGTCTCGGTCTCCCTGGCACTCCCAGAGCACATCTTCCTTTTTGTAACCCACTGAAGGATGCGGAGAGCTGGCCCAGTGACCCCCAAGGATACTCTGGGAGCTAAATTCCCTCCACACAGATACACACACATGTGGCAGAGATGCACATGGGCACATTGATCTCTAGGCCTGGGTTCCAGTCAGACCGGCCCACTGGGGCATGGCTCTGGCCCCCTCACCCAGGCCATTCCCACGGGTAGCCCCAAGAACTAACTGATGCTGGTTTAGGATCTGGTTTAAGGGACCAGGTGAAGCCTGAGGCACTTAGAAGCCAGGATGACAGAAACACCTGCATCAGAAGGGACTCAGAGGGAAA